GTAGGTGGATGTTCTGACCCTCTTCCCTCCCCCTGCCTCCTCCTTCCACCCCCATCCCACTGGAACTGCTAGCAGATGTTTCCTCTAAGTCTTTCTTCTTCAAGCCCCAATTCTCTGACTTTCTGGTCTCTATTAACAAACTGCATTTCTTTCATCCAGTTATCTCTGATTGCTTTGCACTCCCAGCCCACACAGGATCAAGAATGCTGTCACCTCCCATCTCTTTGCCTAGTCTTTAGCAATTTCAGTGAACGAAGAAATTCTACAGATGAGATCTGATCACTAACAGCCCATTTAGTCAGCTCCCGTGGCCAGTCCCAAGACAGGTGCTCTTACATATTCTTCCTCTCTTCCAAGATATTACTTACAACACTGGAGGTAATGACAGGATTTGTTCGTACAACACGTTATGTTCTTAATGAAAAAGAAAGGCTATCAACTGAATCCACTTTTAATTAATGTTTTTAAAAGACAAGAGTACCAGGGACTTCGGGTGTTGGTTTTTCATCTCCTTTAACTAGCTGTCAAGTTGTCTTAAACATATTGTCACAGGTACAATATAAATAAGTCAAACTAATTTTTCTTGACTTACTCTCTTTCCAACAGTGCTTTTCTTCATCCTACACTGTCAAATGGTAATGTCTTAAATTTAAATACATTTTGTAATTTATATTGTTAAATTTTCCACTCAAAACTTAATAATGTTTGGGTATACCTCCTTGAAATAGAAACTGGTAAATGCCACTCCTTCCCCCCTCTTTAAAGACTACCAATTCTGCACACACTCGGCCTTCTAATTCTAACAGTGCTTTTTACACGGAAGGTGCTTTATGAATGCTCATCAGCACCCAGGAAGGTAGTATTGCTTTGCAGTTTAGGAGTCAGACCCAGATTTGAAGCCCTGGCTCTGCCACTAGATAGCAATGTGGCAACTTGAGCAAGTTACTGAGACTTTCTTGGTGTTTCTTTGGCTATAAATGGAAATCATAAAGCTTCCACATAAGGATAAACAAGAAGGTTTGTGATAATGAATTTCAAATGCCTAGCAGGGACAGGCATTAACAGATTCAATAAAAAAGTTATTTTTGCAAGTGTCCCAGAGCTAGATTTGAGGTCTCTGAAGAAAAAGCAAGCAATAAACATAATTCATTTCCATTTTAGCTGAAAGTGGATCCATACAAAGGGTTGTATTCCAGGTGGGCAAGCTATTTATCCAGCCAGGACAGGAGAAATACTCCCAAACCTCACTTACTAACATAAAAGGTTGAAAAGGTGCCTTCCTTAGAGGCTTCATTCCAAATGATGGGTTACCCTAAGGCCTTTCCAAGCTAGCAGGCTTTTTCCTCCATTGTCTACTGCATTAGTCTCAGAATTATAGAAGGTTCAAAATCTCTTGTTTTTTAATGTCTAATATTCCCTATAGAAAGGAATGCTATTTAAGGACAACAGATTATTCTGAGTACTTCACTAAAATTCGTATCCTGTATTAAATAACAACAAAAACAAAAAAAAATTAGCTAACTATCCTTAAAAGGAAACAGCCTACTACACAATAAGAGGGGAAAAAAAAATCACACAAGGATTTTAAAACTTCTACCCAGACTTCCAAAAACAGATCAGGAAATCACAGCATTTAGCAAGAAGAAAACATCTTACCAAGCTTGAACAAAGTGCTAGTTTTATGAGTGTCCTAATGTACTGGTAATGGCATGCAAGAAAATGTTTCTTTCCCTTACATGTCTATTTTTTATGTGATTTCTATTTTGTCTACTGGATATTACATTTCTTTTTGTTCACTAGAAAAACTAATTTTTTTGAGATAAAAAAGTCAGTAACTTGGCATGTGTGTTAATTGGTTATTATCATGGATTTTAGAAAAATAAAAAAGAAAATGAAAGAAAAATTCTCATTAATTTGGGCCTAGTAATTAGTAATCTGCTATAATTTATAATGCATTAAGCTTATCTTTATAGGATTTTCTTTTAATGGAGAATTAGTAATTCAAATGAAATAAGAAACAGGATGTTCAAAGAATTCTAAAATCCTTCTAGTTTTACTTATGAAATCCTTGGAATCAGTTATAAATTCCGAACAAACTGGTCTCATTGTTCTCTGAACATGCGTAGTTATTTTCTTAGCTCTGTCTCTGCCCATGCTAGTGTATCTTTGTGATACCCCTCGACCCCACACCTTTACCTTCTGAAACTCTACCCGTCTTTTATACCCTCAACAGAGCCTCCCTTAATCTCTCCTCTTGCCAGGAATTCTCCCCCTCGCTGGGAGCCACATAGAAAGGAGGTATAAACAATGCACTAATACTTGATGAAATGTCATTAAGGGAGTTTACAATCCTACACATCACTCACTACCTGCCTCAGAATCAGCTTCCAGAACTGAATGAGTAGCTCTGGTATCTCGATCTGAATTAGAGTACACCAGAGAACTTAAACAAGGATTGATGCCAATACTGTATATTTTGCAAAGGATTACACTGGCTACATGTGTAGGTACACATATGCAAAACACACACATACTCTGAAGATACTGTTGCCCAACCATACATGAGTGCTTTTAAAAAAACAAGCAAAAACAAAACATTTAGAAAAAACCAGCAAGAGAAGTAAACTATTGTCCTAAATTCAAAGCTCAAATCCCTATTTATTTCTGGGAAACAAAAATCAAGAATTTAGTGTTTATAAGAGCGTTTAAAGTAGCCTGAGTTGATGAGTCACACTTGTCTTATTTAGGAAGGGTTAAAACTGTTATTCACAGAAAAGGCAACAGCGATTATCTTAATTCTAAGTCCAGAACTGTTCAAGTGGCTTTGTGAATGCTAGTAAAACAATAAACTAACCAAACAGAACCATCATTCAATTATCTCTAGTGGAACATATTTAAAGGTGACATCTAATGCTAGTAACCCAACATTCTGAGCTACTAAAAGGAAACTCAAAACGTTATGACTGGATACAAAAAACACTTTGCTTAAATTTCAGATAAGGGCCAATGAGAAGGTCAGAAAGACTTACCAATACAGCCTAACAAGAAAAAAATGACAGCTCAAACAGGCCATGAGATTCATGATCTCAAACTTCAATGTACAACAGTGATCTCTGAACACAGACAACAAAGGAAACCAGGGCCTAAATGTGACAAGAGTGCGAGTCAGGGTCACACAGAGAGCCAATGGTGGACAGAAAGAGAGGTGGACAGAATTTGTAGGCTAGCAGGTGATTACTTTTCCTGGTCTGTAGGCACATTTTATACCGTCTTTCCTCTAAATCCTTCAATGGCACATGCCTTCTTAGCGGTGTCTATGTTCACCTGCCATCCCTTCAGGGGCAGAGTCGCTGGGATCCTCTCTTGTTCATGATCTTGGGATGCAATAGGATGGAAACTACTTCACTAGTTAGATTATCCTCTAATGGCCTTTTGGATAATTTCAGCAAGTTTTTTGCATATCTGAGGTTAAACCATCTTAAACATTACAAAGAGCTAACAGTGAGGTTGATTAAAAATAAAAATATAAGCACAATTTTTTAAAGTGTGGCCTTTTTTGGACAAAACTCTTCTCTTCTTTGAAAGCCACTGCTTTAGGCTAAAGTTCTCAAGAAGTCAAAGATGCTTCATCATAGCCATTGATTATTTCACCCAACAGATTTTATTAAGTGCCTATTAAGTACAAGGCACTATTATCAAATCTGACTATAAAGTAGTGGACAGGTAAGAGCTGGAGTCTTATCTAATGGGGCAGACTTATAATAAAAACAAATATATATAATTTCAGATACCAGTTAAGTACTATGAAAACACAACAAACCAGGAGAATGAGCCTAAAGCTGATTTGGAGGTAAGGGTGCCCTTTTACAAAGGGAGGCGTGAAAGTCAAGGAAGCTCTCGGCTATGAGCTGAAGCCATGGGAAGATCTAGGCAGGGCAACAAACAGTAAGCGCTGAGGCACAAATGAGTGTGGCATATTCCAGCAACAGAAAGTGGGTCAGTGTAGCTGAGACACAGAAAGAAGGGGGAAGTGTGGAAGGAGATGAGGTTAGAGATACAAGGTTAGAGTCAAATCATGTTAGGTCTTAGATGTCTTGGGAAAAAGTGTAGATTTTACACTAGGTATAGTAGTAAGCCATTGGAAAGATTTAAGTGAGAAAGGGATTTATGTTTTTAAAAGAGCACTGTGACTTCGGTATGAATGAAAGATTAGTCCACACAGACGCTTCATTAAAATGAGAATAGTTTAGGGTAGTCAAACATAGCTTATTTGCTCTAACTTGAAATTAAGTAACAGATGACTAAGAGAGTAATAAGGACCTTCATCCCTTGCCCAAGAAAAAAAAGGAAGGAGCTGTCAAACTTCAAATTTCTACACTGCTTGCTGCAGACTGGCCTTTTAAAAAAAACATTCAATCCAAATTAAGGAACAGTACTTTTGAAACCATTCTACAGTTCTGACAGCCTTAAGAAAAGCACTTTTTTTTGTTGTTGCTCACCTTACCTCTTGGAGGCCTACAATCAGGACAGCCTCAGGGTACCTGGGTGGCTCAGTCAGTTTAGCATCTGACTCTTGGTTTCAGCTCAGGTCATGATCTCAGTGTCCTGAGATCAAGCCCAAGTCCAAGCTTGGGGTCCCAACTCAGTGGAGAGTCTTCTTGCCTCCCTTCCCCTCCGCCCTCTAACTCCTCTAAATGTATTTGATGACTAATGATATAAGATCATAAAACAAATCATTTAACCAGCAAAATCTTAAATCTGTAAGAAATACCTATTGACAAATCAACCTGTGATAAACTGACTGGACATCAATCTCACTACTGTTTCCTTCTAAGAATTTCTTTAGTATCCTACTTCAAATTAGATACCTCAAGGCAACACAATTCTATATTGTTTTAAAGATTCCACAATTCACCTTTTTCATTTGTTTATGGTCCTTTTCCAGTTTGAACTAGTAAGTAAACATTATTAGCATAAGAAAATATAATGCATAATCTTACCTCCACTTTAATTCTTTTTGGGGACAATTCATCTCTTTCTCCACATTTTGACCTGGATGGAATGGGAAAAGAGAAAAACTTGAGAAGGTAACAAGTCTTATTCTAAAGACATCTCAATCTATAAACTTCCGCCCAAACATATAGCCCTGAAACCCTAATACCAGAAAGTAAGACATTCATAATGAACACTGACATAACAAAACAGACTTTTCATTATTTCTACTTAACATTAGGGAAATATGCAGACACAATTAAACATTTTAAAAGACCCACTATCTAAGAATTCCCTACAAAGAAAATACTCAATAAACATGCAATGATCATCACATAATGAAAAAGGAAAAAAAAAATCAAGGAGGATTGTATTGCATGATTATCTTTTTATGGATCAGTAGGAACACTTCAGAATAAAATGACCAAAGTGGTCATTTAAGATGAATGCTTAGGGTTATGTAAGATTATATGTATGTGTGTGTGTGTGTGTGTGTGTGTGTGTGTACACACACACACATATATATACATATTTTTAAAGATTTTATTTATTTATTCATGAGACACACAGAGAGAGAGGCAGAGACACAGGCAGAGGGAGAAGCAGGCTCCCTGCAGGGAACCCGATATGGGACTTGATCCTGGGACCCTGGGATTACACCCTGAGCTGAAGGCAGATGCTCAACCGCTGAGCCACCCGGGGAATCCCAGGGCTATGTAGGATCAAAATGCATTTTGTCTGCCTAGTGAAAGTACAGATCCACTTTCCCTTGACCTAGAGATCCCTCTGCTGGGACTCTATCCCAAAGATACCTACAGATATATGAAATACTACTGCCAATTAAACTGTAATAAGCTATCCCTCAAAAGATGTTAAATTATAAGTTATCCCTCAAAAGATGTTAAAATGTCAAAAAAAGTACATTTCAGAATCAACACAATACGTATGGTGTTATTTATTATGGTGCTATTTATAATGATAAAAGACTAGAAATAACTCAAGTATCCACCAACAAAAGACTGGTTAAATAAACCATGCTGGGAGCACCTGGTGGCTCAGTTTGTTAAGCATCTGCCTTCAGCTCAGGTCATGATCCCAGGGTTCTGGGATCAAGCCTCACATGGGGAATCCCTGTTTCTCTCCCTCGCCTCTGCCCCTCCCCCTGCTCATGCTCGCTCCCTCTCTCAAATAAATAATATTTTTTAAAAAATCATAGAAATCCACACAATGCAATACCATGAAGCTGTAAAAAAATAGTGAGCAAGGTGTGTATGTATCTATCTATGACGAGATCTCCAAGATATGTTAAAAGCAAAATACAGAATAAGTGCATACATACTACCTATTGTTTTTTGGAAAAAAGGTAAAAATGAGAAAACATATTTTTATCTGCAAATGTATAAACATACATTGGAAAGATGAAAAAGAAACTAGTAAAACTATTTACATTGAGGAGAAGAAGTTAAAAAGAGACCAGAAGAGGAATGTAACTTTTTATATTATGTATTCACAGAGCTTTGGCTTCTAAATTATGTAAACACGTTACATATTTAAAAATATATTTAACTTAAAAAGTACATAAATGTAAATACTACAAGAAACAGCTAAAAATTGTTGAAAGCAGTTGCCTCTGGGGTGTGGTATTCAGAAGGGGAAAAGGGTGGAGTGGGGAAACTGCTGAGTTTCATTATAAGCTCTGTGTACTATATGTCTCCTTAAATCATGTATAACTTTGATTAGATTATTTAAATAAAGCAGTCAGAAGATGTGTAATAGAGTGAAAAAAATAAAAAAATCACTACATCTGCTCCTAATTACCTAACTTAAAAAAATATTATAAATAATTCCATAATATTGCTGTATATTCTGAGCCTGTTCATTTAGTATGCATATTTTTACTTTGTGGCAGTTTGTAAATATGTGGACCCTTTAGGCAGGGTGGCCCAGGAAGCTGCTATGAGTTAGGGGAAATCATGATGACAGCAAAGGCCTCAACAGTGGCTTTCCAAACTTTAATAGGAACAGAATAATTTGGGACACTTGTGAAAATTTGGATTGCAAGACTCCGTCCCCAGAAATTGTGAGTTATTAGGGCTGGGGAGGGTACTCAGGATGTGGCTTTTCAACACACATTCAACGACTCTAATGCAAAGGGTCATCTGCATCTTCTCGGAGAAGCAGTGGGACACACAACTGACGGCAAACTAGAAATCAGGGTCCATGTGGAAGAAGAGAACAAAATCAAAATAGTAAAACACAATTTGGCTTAGGATTTAAGTGAAGATGAGATGAGGAATAAGATGTATTTATATTAAACTTTAAAATCACCACTGCTTTTCAACATGTAGGTTTTTTACTTCAAATATTCCATATTCCACTTCCGTATTTCAAACATATGTCCATAGTCCATGTAATCTGGCATCTTCCAATTTTCCCTTAAACACGGGTCAATGGAGTCTTTTCATCTATTGAACTAACTTCATTAGATTGCAAACACCTTGCAAAAGGAACCACTTTGCTTCCTCAAAGAGTTCAACAAGTTCATATAGTTAGTGGGTATACAAATAAATCTATACATGCTGACTAACTAAATCCCATCATCACACTCAAAACCAAAGCTTCTGTTGTGAGAAGAAGGTTTACAACCACCACCAGAACAATGCTGTAGTGCTAGGGAACTGTCTTTCAAAAGAAAGAAAAGAGAATTAAACAAAACAACAAAAACCACATTAGCAATGTTTTGAAAAGTCCCTTCACTCTTTAAAATTTTACAGAACCATCATCACATTACACTTCTACTTTTGAAAAATGCTTATTATATTCTAACTGGGTAGTGTTGTAAGTTCTACTTCTATCAAGCGATACTGTCAATTAGTTACACACTTACTTGGTGGTTCTGTAGGTATATTTGTAGGTGACTTCTCGAGAAATCTGCCTCGCCAGGGCAAACAGTTCATCTCTTCTTGTCAGCAGGGCATTATCCTTCACACAGAGCTGAGCAGCCGCTTCATTAACAGTGAGCTGTGTATCCAAAACAAAATTTAAAGCTTATAAACATCTTTATTTCATCAATAGGAAAAACATTTCACTTAAGGATATAAAAATGTCACATAATTATACAATGGGAGCATAGTTTATGAAAATCAGGATGCGTCTTTCTTTATTCCTTATTAGTCCTAATGCCTAATTTCAGAAGAAAAATCACATCACCTACCATCTCTCAGAACTCAAATTAACCAAAATAGTCATCTTGGTTTTATTTATATACTTAATTTATTTTTGTTTAGGTATGAGTTTATTGAAAATAAGCAAAATAAAAATAAAGTAAAAAAATGTTCTGTATCTGTTTTATGAAAAGTCAAGGATTTGGTATGTTTGTTGGTAATACTTCCCTAACTAAAAGTGAGTACACATGGTCTGACAGATACTTTTTTTTCAATGTGAACTGACTTGAAAATTCATAGGAAGGAATAAAAATTTGATGATTTGAGTTAAATATTTATCAAATTAGTTAAAAAAAGGGGGTTATCGCAAATTAGAACTATAAAGGAAAATCAAGGTCTTGGAGTCACTAATTCTCTAAATTCATCTAATTCCACTCTTTTATTTAAGTATTAAATAATGGAATAGAGTTGCTACTTAACAGAACACCTTGTACTGAAATTCAAAATAGCAAATGTTATCTGATATTCAAAACCCGAATTGTTTAATAAATCAGAAAAGGCTTTTTTCACATAATTTTGCCAATTTAAATAGATGTAGGGAATTGCCATTGTTTTTTTTTTAAATAAGAAACATACTCGTTCTAGGCATGATTAACAGCAAAAAGAGAAAGGGATTTGATGGCAGACAGAGCTGAGGGGAGTCTTGCTCCATCATTTACCATCTGTGTGACTCTGGCATGTAAAAACTTCTGAGCCTCAGTGTTCTCAGAGGCAAAAATAGGATAACAAAACGGGAACTACCTCAAGGGACTAACAAGAAATAAATGAGGAGACACACCTGGCACAAAGTTGTTCTTCAGTATTAGTTATTTTCCTTTCATAAAAAAACCAAGTATTTACTTTCTCCCTACCCAGGCATCCCACATGGTTCCCAAAAATGTTCTGTATTTAAAATTTTCAGAAGTACAGAGAAGCAAAAAAAAGCAAAGAAATGCAGAATGCAAGCCTTCCATCTGTTAATATTTTTAATGTATATTATTCTAATATCTCTATGTACATAGAAACATACATGTGAATATAGTTTGCAATTGCCTTTTTTACTTATGTATGCTGTATTTTTTACTTTTATCATGTGTTAAGGTAGAAACTTCTTTGGTTGAATTCTTAACTGTGTCTTTGCACACATATTGAATTATTTTCTTGGAATAAACTCCTAAGAATAGACTTGTTAGGTCACAGAACACACTAAATTGTAAAAGATTCATGTATTTCACCAAGTTACTCTCCAGGAAAATTGCTCCGAATCATAACACTACCAACAATTATATGAAGATCCATTATCCAGAATCAAGCAACACTGATTATTTTATCTTAAAAGCTTTAGAAATCTCATGTATTTTCAGTAATATCTGGTTATAATTTACATTTCCTTTCCTTGACCTTTTTCTTATATTTTTAAATTATTTTAAAATCTGCTTGTTCATGGCAGTTGCCGGTTTCTTCTATTGCACCATTTTGTTTCTTACCGACTTTATGAATTCTTTATGCATTAGGAGCACTAATATATGCAGCAGTTTTCTTTTTCATAGTTTATCATTAGCCTTACAGTTTTTGTCTTGGGTGCCATGCACAGAAACTCCCTTCTCACCCTAATAAAATATAAAGGTTCTCCTCTAATTTATCCTAATAGTTTTATTTTTTCACTTAACTACTGAAACCATTTAAAATGTATTATATGATATCATCATATATCTAACATCCCCCTTTTCAGATTTCCACCTGTAATTTATAGTGGCTAATTCTCAAATAATCTTGCTACAGACAAGGTTAAAATAAACCCAGGGCTTCTATTTTAAACCCACAACTGAATATGAAAGCATAAGAGGAACAATGTATTTTCAGTCCTCTCTCCTTTTCCTAAAGAATCATCAATAGATCAATCTCTAAGTGCTTTTGAAAGGCACAATGTTACTGGAGCTAAAAGTGAAATGTATTTATTTTTTTTTTAAGATTTATTTATTTATTAGAGACAGAGAGAGAGAGAGAAACAGAGGGAGAAGCAGGCTCCATGCGGGGAGCCTGACGTGGGTCTCGATCCGGGACTCCAGGATCACGCCCTGGGCTGAAGGCGGCGCTACCACCGGGGCTGCCCTGAAATGTACTTTAAAGAATGATTTTCTAAATAAATTTCAATTTCAGCTTAACAGTAGCTACAATGACCTTGAAGACCTTCTCAAGCACCTTTTTATGTAGCCTTTTCTTTCTTGTACTCATACCCTAAAATTAGCATGGAGAACTTCAGATTGTCAGTAAGGTATTTTAACAGACATTTCAGAGGTGTTCCCTTTGGCACAACCACAGAAAAGACTCAACATAAACCGAAAAATAGTGTTCTAGTATTCCTTCCATCATCCTACCAGAAACCCAAAACACAACCTTTGTTACTGTATGTATTCAGGCTTCCAAACATCAAAAAAGTAGACTAAGCTCTCCAAGCCCTTAGGGAAACTTCTGGTATTAAAACTGAGGCTGCAAAAATAACTATAGCTCACCTCAAGTTGCAATAAGCAGCTGACTTATCAGGGTTCTCCCTCAAAAATGTGTTTCCTGTATTTCATGCTCCAAATTGTTAAAAATTAAATCAGTAACTATTATGAAGAATTTTTTTTAAAATTATACAAATACTCTAATACAGTAGTTACTGGAGTACCATACTAGCTTTCTAAAAATTCTAAGTTTTGGGGCACCTCGGTGGCTCAGTGGTTGAATGTCTGCCTTTGGCTCAGGTCATGATCCTGGGGTCTTGGGATGGAGTCCCACATCAGGTTCCCCACAGGGAGCCTGCTTCTCTCTCTGGCCTGTGTCTCTGCCTCTTTCTCTGTGTCTCTTGTGATTAAGTAAATAAAATCTTTGGAAAAAAAATTGTGAGTTTCTAGGGGCACCTGGCTGGCTCAGTGGTGGAGTTGAGTCTTGATCCCAGGGCCCATGAGTTTGAGCCCCAGTGTGGGAGCCTACTTAAGATTTTTTTTTTAAGAAAAAATTCTAAATTTCTGGGTTTTTTATTTTTTATAAGTAGGCTCCATCCCCAGTATGGAACCCAAGATGGGGCTTGAACTTGACCCTGAGATCAAGACCTGAGCTGAGACCAAGAATCAGATGCTTAACCAACTGAAGGTGCCTCTGTTTCTAGTTTTGTTAAAAATATAAAATATTCTAATTGGCTTACTTCCTCCTAGTCCTCCTTTTTGTGGCTAAAAATATCAAAATTCCTTTCATATTTTTATGTTAAACAGTTCTTAAAGTTAGTTATAACTAGACTTAAAGTTTTCTTTACGGTAGTTAAAATTATAATCTTTAACAATCAAATGATTGTGACTTTCCATTTAGTCTTGTTAGCATAAAAATGCAATAAGAATGCTGTGTGAAAGGGAGGCTCAAAAGGCAATCAAGGCTTTCCTTTCCAGCATATGGAGGGAATGACTGGCTTTCTCACAGAAAACAACTAAAAACGCTGGATAAAATTGGGAAGGGAAAAATATCTTAAAAGCATCAATAAGACGGCAAGACAACAGTTAAGGACTATTCTGGCTAAAATGAATCAAGATGGTATCTCCAAAGGAGTAAGTTGAGGACAGTTGCTAAAACCAGATGACCCTGAGCTCCAGACTTCACAACCTCACAGGGCTGGTTAATATGGAAAGCGAATAGGGAGGAAAAACCTAAGATCTACCAAAGGTGAAGAGTCTAAGACCGCCTCCTTCCACAAAGCTAAAATCCCAAACCACTACATACCCACTGTAAGCCTGAATTAGAAATACACTTGTACTCCCAGGAGAATTCAAGGGAAATTACCTGTCTTAAACCCTGTTACGGAGTAGGAGAAAACAAGATACTCCCTTGAGATTTCATAAACCCCAAATCAGCCCTCACATGATTTTCAACCCTAATTCACACTAAGTGGGCTGAGGATTTCTTTCACAGGGTTTCAGAGTTGTATTGTGCAGAAGTCAGGCGCCTGGTAGAAGCAAAAGCAAATAATCTCTAGGAGAATCCATCTTCTTCCTAGGCCTCAAAACATTCCCACAGTTCCAGGAAATAGGAGTTATAGACAGAAATCATAAAACATCCAAAGAAATAAGGCATCAAAAGTAAAAACCAGTAGAAATAAAAAAAAATTTTTTTAAAAACAGAACAAAAAAAGAAGTAACAGCAGAATAAAACCCTCAAAGACTTCTTTTAGAGAAATATAAAAAAAGTTGAAAATATGATGAAAGAATAATACAGGAAAAAAGACCAAGAAAAACTGAGAAAGCAAGAGAGAAAAAATTGGGGTGGAGGCAAACATAAGATTTCAAAAGCAGACAACAGTCAGTTAACATTGACTTGTAAACCCAACAATGAAAACCAAAAGCCAAGGAAATACCTTCAATTAATAAGATAACTGACAATATAGAATTTGATACCCAAAATGAACAGCAATTAAGAATGAAGGCAAAATAAAGATATTTTTCAGCGGGTTGGGACAGGACAGATTTTGCCATCAGTAGGCCTTCATTAAGAAAATTCTATATCGGGCATTGAGGGCATGTGATGTGATGAGCACTGGGTGCTACACTTCCTGTTGGCAAATTGAATTAAAATAAAATAAAGAAGAAAATAATAAAACAAAATAAAATAAAATAAAATAAAAAATAAAAAAGAATATTCTACATGTACTTCAGGCTAAAAGAAACTAATCCCAGACAGTAAATCAGATCTAAAGACAGTGATACTAATACAAAATAAAATAAGGGAGATGAATTCAAAATATTAGCCATAAATAAGCCAAATGTTCCAGTTAAAACACAAAATTTGCCT